AGATGGTACTTACACTTGTATATGTGGAAGTGTGTACGTGCGGTTGTGATTCAATATTTGTGCAGCAATGTTTCTTACAATCTGTTATAACTTGACCCTGGACCTTTTTATTACCCCGTCGCCAATTGTTATAACTTGTAGCTGCAGATTAGGTGGGAGCGAATTATCGATCGGACTAACAACGCGCGAAACACTTAAGAACAACCTAGGTTCCTGATTGGTTCTGCTTCCCTGTCTAACCCAGCCAGCTGAGTCCAGAACGCACATCTCAGATGCTGAGATATGAGTCATTATACTTCAAGCATACTGAGTTTATATACCAATCAAACCGAACACAACATACCCATAAAAAAAGAAACGACATTTGCACAAGAATCGGCCAGATGTTGCTGTGAATGAGGGAGGTAGCAATTAACAGACAAGGAATAATTCATGAATGGTAAATCGTATAATAATAGTTCATGGGTTAACATAAAGCCTATAATAAAAGGAATATGAATACGCATAGTTTAGTAACTTAGTAATTATACAATAGAAATATAATTATTATATTTGTTCATAAATGGATCCAAAAAATAACCATTCATTATTCTTATCGGGATACAACACAACGAATGATAGGTGTGTCATCTCATTATCAACACAAAGTTGGTTTGTTCAAGATAAAATGTGATATGGATTTGTTTTTCGATTCTTCTTCTTGTCATAGTATTGGTATTTAAAGCTGGACAACTGTTATCTATACCAACAATCAAACAAAATTTATTATTATATTGTGGCCTATATCACAGACTACTGAAATTGCCCAGAAAACTATTGAAAACGCGAGAGTGTTGAGCTGCTGTTTTCTCGTGATTCAGAGTACCTCGTCTTCCTTTGACCATGATGCAACCGTCAGTCGAGATACAACACCATCAGACATTACAATATTCATTCGGTTTCATGGTTAGAGAATAACGTAAACCATATAAAATATAGTTGTATTTGAGTAGATCACAATAAGTGGTAATCGCTTCTAAAGTTAATTGAAGTTTATCTAAGGAAATCTGAAGATTTATTTCCTTCATATCAGCTTCACAGAACAATGTAAAACAAATAAAGTCACTAGAAAGATATACTGTGGTATATGTTTGCTTCAACGAACGAGAATTCAGCGTTAAAAACTGAATAATTACCCCTTCAACGTACTTAACACACTCAGCTATCAAGTCTATGATTAAAGCAACGGAATATTATTCGGATGCTACTAAAGACAGTTACAACTTACGTCAACCTAAAGACCCAGCTTTTGTTGAAATAATAGACAGTATAATCTCTGGAGCAACGGCATAACCATGAGATGAATCAGAGGAGCTTTATGATGTGCTCAGTTGTCTCATAATTAAAACTCTCAGGACCAAGAAGAAAATATTATTTTCGAGAATGCAGTTTGCCACAGGATAAACACTGGTCAAATCTGTGCTAACGTTTATATACTGCATTGAAGCTGATTGTAAAAGCCAGTGAGTGTCTAAACTCATTAGCTTTGAGGATGACGCAATGATGCCTGAAGTAAACAATACTAAGTTGGACTACTGTGGTGAACATCATTCTGTGATTCAGGAACATTAATGGGAGTAGAGAGGCAATCCTCACAGGATGCATATATGCTAATAAGATTGGCTGATCAATTTTATTCCAAAACGTTAATGAAAAGATTCAAGCAATCAACGCAAATGAATCTGTACAGAATCCTGTCTCATAGTTCCATGAGAATGAAACCGAATATTGACCAAGCATTGTACGATAAAGTAATCAATCAATAACACACGCAGCTATCAAGTCTATGATTAAGGCACAGGAGTCTTCTTTGGTAGCTAATTAAACCAGTTACACATCAGATCTTCCTAAGGACTAGTTTTCAAACCTGTCTTTTTTAGTAATGTTATGGCACAGTTCCTTAAATCTACATCTTTCCTCATTCCGAGTTGAGTATCAACTGAACTCCATATAATTATTTCATAATCAACATTCATAACACCTCAATAACTACAGTTTGTCAGTCAGCGTTCATTAAACACTAAATTATCAAATAACGAATGATTGAGGTGGTATTCCGACATTGAAAATCAGAACAATAGACCTCGTCAATAGACCTCGGCAATACTACTAAATATTGAAAATTAATCAAATAACTCATCATTCATTGTACAATATTGTGGGAATTGATTATGGAAGTGAATGAGACCAAGGAATAATGATTTAGAGTATCCGCTACCGACTTGACAGTCAATGTGTTGAGTACTTATTAACCTACAACTAACTGACAACTTATATTTGTGTGATAAAATTTGTTTTCTTCATGTCACAACTAAATACAATCTAAATACTAATCGATCAAATTATAACTGACGGCTTTATTGAAGCAATCAATCCAGGAGACGTATTTCTCAACGGGGAATCAAAATACCTATTTCCGAACTTCAACAATGGGAGTCTACGATTCTACGAATCAGTCATTATCCAATCATGTTACCCAATTTTAAGCATAATACGCTTCATCATACACACTGATCTCGTCCGTGCTTTTCAACAGTTCACGTAGATATGCGGTTTTGTATTGAACATCGCTAATCGCTACACATTCTATGAGTCGAAAATAAGCATGTCTCTAATCATTGATGTTAAACAACGCTTTTATGGTGTGTTGGATATCCATATGGAAGCACAGCATTGTACTCACATTTGATTAAAAATCTTCAACGTATACAATACTTTGATTTACGCACTGAGAGAAGAATGCAAATCATTAATTATTCGCAGCAATAAGATTTTATTCCTAACAAACAAATTTACTTTGTGGAATATGATAATATTGAAAACAACCTGTGGAGTCTATCATTTACTTACTTTACCCTTGCAACCATTTACTTTGAATTCATGAACGTCCTTATCATTACTAGAAGTGCACATATTGGCTGTTTCACACCAAATACACGTTGCATTCGATTTTTTTTGAGTCGTGACACGCTTCACTGGAATTGTATTTCGGACAATCTTCAGTGGAAAGAATGAGGTGATTCCATAACAAGTTATCAAACAAAAGATAAGTGAATTACAAAGCATATAACTGTAAATCTATTATATAATGGTGATTTCAGATTAAAGTTACTATCTCATTAAATGTGAATTTGTCATCACATTGCGCATCGCAAACTTTCAATGACATTCAAATTTCACGACAACATTTTGGCTTTCAATGAAAATACATCTATAACGAATAACATTTTATTCAACGATTATTGAACTGGATCTGAACATTGGAATATGGAATGATTCTTTGAGTTGTCGTGATGTTACTTCAGTACTCTAACACATGACGAACAAAAGAGTGCGTGATTACTCACCGTACATATCAGTGAGAAGGAAAACACTTTCATACTATTTTATTCACATTTTAGGTCAACAACTCGGTACTGAATGAAACTAAGATGAATATTAAACAATGAGTTTGGACATGGGGATTCGATAGATTTTTATGAATGTTTGCATTCAGAAATGTACACACCATGTTGTCACCCGGTTTAGCAAAACCCACTGCATTTGGTTTCTAATGCGTTTTGAGTTTCATTTATTGATATCAGTCTGATGATGGAAATATATCTTCTATATTGCTTCAACATATGAAAACTGGCAAATAACATCACAAAAACATTCACACTGACTACTTGAAAATCCGTGTAAGAAAGTCACTTGTACTCAGACAAGAAATTCTTTTTTTATTACGTTAGTTCAATCAAAAAACAAAGGAGGAGTGACATTGTTTTTCAATTCATGGCCGACGTATTTCTGCAAGAGATTTCAATTGAACTACTATAAAATAATGTCTCAAACTATGTGATCATATTATGCCGTGTGTGCTGTCGGTTAGCATATCACATTAGTTGGATCATGAACATGCATCGATAATAAATAATATTTTATCCAACGAATATTGGAGTCAATCTGAACATTAGATTATCGAATAATCTCAGCAGAAGTGATGTTATTTCAACACTCCAACACATGACGAATCGAGGAGTATTTGTGGTGACTCACTATTCATATCAATGAGAAAGGTAACACTTACGTAAGATGAAAGTCTTCAGTATTTTTGATACTGTACAAGTATCTACTGCCTATGGTATATCGAAAGCTGAACACCTGACTTGTCTATACATTCAGTTTATCGGATGAGTAGGATAAAGTGGAGGGTTTGTAAATTGAGATATTATTTCCAAGTCAACTACATTTTTATGGAGTGTTTCCACGATTTTAATAACTAAGGAAAATTCAATATCACATGTAGCAAGTTGAAAAACTATGGAAACTTCCAAGTCAATGCACAATCAGCTAACTGACATATATTATCCCATCTATCGTTTTGTAACATTATGTACGCTTAAGTGAATTTTATCAACGTGAGGATATGAAGGCCATCCGTCCTTCATCATTTTAAATAATCAACAGTTTATCCACGTATAGAATAACGTCGTCTGATACTTGTAGTCAAATTTTACTTAATTATTTATTGAAATTGCACATGAAAGTTTCAATATTTGGAAGCAAAATTGATGCATTCAACTGTGAAAATAGTCATTTCTGATATAATAAGGTTAAACATACCTCCGAGAGCTTCATACTCCACTAGTGTTCCACTTTGGATCCATTTCCTGTGAACACGTATTTCAGTTTCTTTCTCATTTTTTGAAATTAAATTTACAGACGAACACATTTCAGATTTTGTTCAACGAGCGACTGATAAAAAATGGGAACGACTTCTCTGAATATCCATGATGAAGATATTCACACACATAGTTATATTACTCAGTATACCAAGTTTGGCGTGCGTCAGCACAGGTGGATCGTGAAATTCATTGTTTACGGAATTTAGCATATGAAATAGAATCGTTTTGTGACACTTACAAGGATGATGGTTGTTCAAATGAAGACACAGATACTTGATTTAAATCCATAAGAATTCAGTGGTTCACTGTTCAAAAGAATTGATCAAAACACGCGATTTTCTCAGGGCTAGCTTGCACTTTAATTTATTACCACATATGCTACTAAAACGTCGCTTTAAGATGCGTAAACACATCATCCACGTTGAATTTTCAATAAACAGTAATGCTTGGACGATGAGTTTATCAGAAGCATTCAGATTTTATTTCACACGTTTTTCATCAACAATTTAATGCTACTTCGACCAATCTGCTTTCACATGAAACTACTGAATAATATGGACTGTAAGAAGGATATATTTGATCACTATGATAGATTAAGGCAAATTTCTGTGTTGACACAAAGATAATTGAGTATAAATAGAAAGAAAGGCAAGGCAAACAAATGACTGTTCATGTAGGTCAGTGTAAATCAGAATACAAATAAATTTACTTACCTCCTTGTTTTCCACACCGAATTCTACCGACAATGATCGAATCCACGTCTTTTATTTTAATTGCTTTAGTAACCTGAGAAGTAGTAACAGAAGTGTGAGTCAAGATCTGCTCAATTCCATTCATTACCACTCATTTCCCAGAAAAATTGTTTCCATCATACATCCTAAGTACCTCGAAACAATCAAAACGGATTCAGTTCGACACACAAGAAATCTTTCATCTCACCAGCATTTCCCAGTCATCCAACATCTATTGTATTCCAAATGTATAGATTACTAAATACTGACACTCAAACAACTACACACTGAGGATCGATCATGAATCTTAGCAACTAATCTCTTAAAATAGTTAACATCGAACCTGTCAAACAGTTGAAATTCAGAAGACGTAGTAATGCTTGACAGATTATGACTATGCCGGAAAGTACTCTGACATACACTGATTGCACTTTATATGCACGAAGACATCAGAATTTCTATTGATAACATTTCATTTCTTGTAATTCATAGTTTTAAGAAAGTGCTATAATTAAGTGTATCGTAAAGGGGTTAATAATAGGGTCATATAGTCTGTGTACACATTGCAAAATTTTGATATCCTTCTAACGTGTTCAATATATCTTGATGCATTTGACACTACAGACATGCGCAAAGTAAGAGAATATTCTGAAGTAGTTGATGCAATACTATCATTCAACTTACGTTTTCATAATAGAAAGATATCTTCCCATTCGAACTTATCGTAGTGGTTACCTTGAATGTAAGATCTGTAATCAGAAGACCATCAAAATTTACAATTTGAAGGATGTGTGGCGATTATGTCGGTGTTAGATTTGATACTGCATGTGCCTACTCAAAAAGTAATCAGATTTTAGCAGATTTTACCGTGTTGATTTCGTGATAAATACAGTCTACTGAACGTCGTGTAAATGAAGCAAGCATGCATCCTTCAATAAGAATGTTAGATGATTAGTATCCGAAGCTGTATTAAAACCTCGTTTTCATGTCAAAATAATAAAACATCAAGCTTTCAAATAAGTCCGATAGTTAGGAAGGTATTGAAATTTGCTAAACATTCTCTATAATCGTCAATTAAAATATCCGCCCTTTGTACACATAACATGAGCTGTGGAGTGTTTGTTTACAAATAGAACATGGTAACTTAGTTGGTGATGCAACTCGTTGGTTTATTAGTGTTCGATAACGATGGAAAATGAATAGTTTCAGATTACTCGTCTTGGTGACTCCTGAATTTGAATGAACAACTTTTATGAATGGCTGTGTGGTAAGCTACTCGAATTTTCTTATTTCGGAATACAGACTTCTAACCAAGCAGCATTGAAGCCTGTTGACGAAGATGTATCTCTGCATTCGTTTATTTACAAGTGGAATTATATTATGATCTAATTTATCCATCCTGATCTATCTAGTACACATCAAAACTTGTATGTTTCTACTAATGTCAACTGCTTTTTCATACCCAATCAAACTGTTTAAACAATCAATCGATTCCAGATTTAATTCTACCATAATTTTCCTGAATCGTTCCACTTCATTACTTCTGCCAGTTTTTGGGCAGAACTCAAATACGCAAGTTAACAGAGAACGTGTGAGTAATTACAATGAATGTTAGTGAAAGTGTTAATATTTCACATGTGACCAAATAGTCATTTTATGGATACATACCCCCACTAGAACTTTGCGTATGATAAGACTGTCTGATGGCTAATAATTCCTCTGAAATAGTGAAAGTAAAAACAAATCGTGACTTTTTATATCTGCATAATGAATATCCGCATCTTTCGATAAAAGCAAATAATAATACAAAATTAGCTAAGACAAATTTTGTCATCTTCCTTTCGAGAATTAAGTGATGCGGTTCAATCAAATGAGAGCTTTAATTATCTTAACTATTATACCAATGATATGATGAGGGTTTCGAACCAATTAACTGAGTTGAATGTTTTACTTCTGAAATGCTGGTTTAAAAAGCTTCTGAGATTCTGTTATCACAATGTAACAGTGTTCTTACAACTGAACTAACCATTACGCAGCAATGCCTTATCATTAGCATTAATTCTCATAACTAAACAAAATGAATGAACTTCATTTTGATGCTCAGGGTGTTCTAGTTTGAAATATTCATATTGTACGACCAGACTATCAACGATCGTTCGTTGAATGGATTCTTGTGTAAGATAATAAGTTCGAATTTCATGATCATGTGCATGTGATAATTAAGAAGCTGTTGAACATTGAATGGTCCGAAGACTAAGTAATTGACAGAAAATATTTGGAAGAAATCAAAAATAATTTGATAGTTCAAATGCTTTAGAATGATTTCCTACACAACATCGTTTATTATTGTAGCTGTGATCAGTTCAATTCATTGAATCTACCAAGAAGTGTCACATTGATGAGATATTTGCTACATGGTAGTTTAAAGAGACCGTAAACTGTTATTTTCACTTCAGCAATTTTATCAATCGACGTATTATTTTTACTCAATAAATTTGTGTTTATTTTGAAGTGAACCGCTGTTTTATTTAACATTTTCACTTGTCAGTAATGGATACATGTTGTGAACACATTTTAGAGCATCAAATCACACAAACAAAATAATCCGTGTGTACTTGTCCGCTCTCGTAAAATAATCAGGTTAAATATCGAGTAATGTGTGCAAAATAAAGGGAGAATTAAAAGAAGAAAATAAAATATCATGGACAAACTCACTTCCCTTTGAAATCTGAAAGACGTTCACAGAACTTCTTGTGAAAACATTGTCAATTTGTCCTATGACGCTTCCTTTGTACATGAATATAGAACCTGTGTTTATCGAACGAAAACATGAGACTTGATTAATAATCTGTGGTGAATTATTGACAGTCTTTGAAAATAACTGGAAACTAAAATGAACCGCATAAATTGTAATTAATCAACTGTGGGGCGTCAAACTGTTTACAACTTGAACAAAATAAGATATCAGTAGAACTTCAGAATGTTAGAAAAGCATAAAACTGATTTACTAAAGAAATTAAAGCAACTTTGATTCATGTATATATGAAATTCAGTAACAGGAATCTTGCAGCTTTTCAGACAATTAAAATAACAAATAGTGCCACTGGATATGAAAAAGAGAACTCAGCGAAGAACATTTTCCTTTCAACGAAATCATCAACTTCAGCTGTAATTTTGTATATTTAGTTATATGGAAAATATATGGGATAAAAAAGATTGCATCCTGAACTGGATTCAAGGGTAAAAAACAAATGAGGTTACATATTAGTCAAGGGGTAAGGAAGGAAGTAATTAATGTGTCAGACAATAGTCCAATTGACAGATATATTTTCTGGGAAAATGATGGCCTTACCTTTTGTGTCTATGTGGGGTGATGTGACGTCCGTACCGTAAAATTTAATCACGAACTCTGGAAAGACAATCTGAAGATTTGCAAACATGTGGTCTAGTATCTCAATTGCAAAATGTAGTTAACTCACCTGATTAATAGCCACTTTCTCGAAATCGTCATTTAAAAGTGGAAGAGGCCGAATAAGACGTGTTAGCTAAGAGTAGTAATAATGATGTGACTGAATGTGTGAATTGGAACCTGACTGAATACTTACATATTCATAAGAATTATTCCCAAAAATCACTTTTTTATAATCCTCAAATTCAGGTTTACTGCAAATTTCATGACAGTCGATAAATTTCGAAAACAAGAAGATGACCGAGCAGACAAGTATCAATTGACCAGATGAAAGAGTACATCTAAAATGATTCAAATAAACAATCATGCCTTATTTCATTGAAGCAAATTATAATGTTTGTAATACAAACATTTACCAAAACTGTACAGTCAACACTCACCTCATTTTCTTCAAAACCTTAATAATTGTTGACAAAACTGTTGAGTTTATATAGATTTTTTAAGTGTTCATTTATTTCTATCTGATTCGATGATCTAAACTGATCATTAGGACTATCAAGTGTAGTAAAATCATGTGATCATTGGTAACCAATCATCAAGGTAGGTCAACTCATCGTTGTGCAATATTCTTCTAGCTATTGAGGTATATAGGCTGAAATTCTAAAGCCAATATTAATGAAAAACTATTTTGAATATAACTAGCTACACTTCAGTCTAAGTGATTGGCTTATTAGTAGTTCGAAATATTTGCTAATATTTTCATGAACAAACATTTTGTTGCTTGTATTAATCTGTGAATTGATTGCCAAAGGTGCATTCTTTTGATTTGATTGGTTAAAATCAAATTAGCAAAATCAGTTTTCATCGGATGTCTAAATTTGCAATTTAACATCTGAAGGTTATATCAATAAAATAAATTCTGTCAGACGATTCCAACATTGTTGAATGTGGAATTGTAGCTTTTGAACAAAACCAGATCAGTTCAATTTGACCGTCATATTGTACCACTGGCTGTAGGCAGACGTTGTGATGAAAGTAGATAAAGTTTGTGATGCGGACCACGCAGAAGTGGGATTTAATGTGTTTGATAATGTAGATCTAAGCGATCAATGGTTTTAAAGATAGAAAGTTAAGGCATTTCATTTAAAGTGAAGTGTTGAAAATGGAAAGGCTTTCTCGATCCACACAGAGATTTTTAATTCCATTGGTGATCGCTTAACCTGAAAGCTAATAAATATGTCATTACACAGTAGGAAGACTAATATCTATTTTCTTATTTTGACGGTCATATAGTTAGTAACTAGATCCTCATTCTCAAACATATACACCAGACTTATTATCGCATCTCTCCAGGCTCAAATAATGATTAGTTTATTGATGACCAAAATCGTTGATGTAAAAATCAGAGGGCACTAAAGCAGAACAGTGAAGATTTAGTAGTAGTGATCGAAATATTGTGAATTCTATCAGATTCACCAGATTGAGTATAAAATAAAATGAAAGTCATCATCCAGAAGATACAGGTGTTTGCTAACAGTTGTTTACGCAAAATACTTCGGATCCGTTGGTCAGTCACTATCAGCAACAACCAACTGTGGGAGAGAACAAATCAGATCCTAGCGGAGGAAGAAATCGGGAAGAAGCGCTGAAAGTGGATAGAACACACATTGAGAAAAGCACCCTACTGCGTCACGAGGCAAGCCCTCACATGGATTCCTCAAGGCTAAAGGAGGAGAGGAAGATCAAATAACACATTACGCCGAGAAATGGAGACAGACATGAGAAGAATAAACAAAAATTGGATGGAACTAGGAAAGAAGGCCTAGGACAGAGTGGGTCGGAGAATGCGTGGTCGGTGGCCTATGCTCCATTAGGAGTGACAGGCGAAAGTAAGTAAGTAAGTAAATCTAGTCACTGCAATATGGAACATTTCAATGACAATACCGAACAATATGTTAGACTGACAATATTGTGACTATCGAATGTCCTAATCAGGCTCGAATCAGAACATGTTGCTTGTTTGATTTTTTGGCGAATCAGCGCTAGTGGGCGAGTCGGAAAAATACTAGGAGATCCTTATATGAACAGTAATGCCATCATTATGGTATATTGTATTAGTCGAATTTGTTAGAATATACATTGCTTACTTTAAATTCACCTGGAGGAATCATTGGAACTAGCGATGTTTGGTGCAATAACACGAGAAGTCCAACAAGAATTTCATTGAGTAGAAACTTTTGTCTCACAACCATTCTGGGTGTAATTTACAGATGGACTGCTATGTGACTGTATACTGCTTTTCGAAATCGTGAGTAACGATCAATGATCTTTGTCAGCACTCAGTATAATAGGATCGGAATTAGAAAGCTTACTGCTTCTTGCAGAGAAAAGGATAGTAGTTTTACAAACTGCCTGTATGTGTCCAATTTTACCACATTTGAAGCATCTAGCATTACGAAATACACGCAAAGCACATGGCTGAAATTGGGACTCATTCGCAGTAGGCTTCTTTACCAATCGATGTCAAGTAATGAGCCACAATATTAATGTCCTCAACATCTTCTTTCGTCATAGTCCACATAGCAAACCTATCCATATAATCCTCAAAGGCATCAAAATTTGAATGTATGTTCAACTGTTAAATAACACACTTCGACGTGACACTGATGTGATGATTATAAGAATTTGATTTGGTATACGAAATGGGAATCAACGAAACGACGCAATTTAGACCAAAAACTAATAGGTGAACACGGACAAACCTATTGCAATTGGAATCTGAAATCAGGCAGTCATCAAGTACAAAGGAATCTTCAGGTCATTCTAACAACACAAACCTTCTAATTGTATGCATTCACGAATACGATTTGTTGAATTGTGAATTCTGTCTGATTCATCGGATTGAAGCTTACATTAAACCGAGATCTATCACTCCTGTCACTTCCTATAGCATTTACAAAGTAAAGATTATTATTCTCTAATCTCAGTGTAAATTATCTGACCATTTTCTTAACAAAAACATATTTCTGTTGACCTCAGTTGTTTACAGAAATATCAATGATTATACTTTGTTGTCGTTTATCACCGCTATCCATCTCATCGATCAAATAATATGGTATTCTATACTCTCTATTTTGTATAACGGACGTATTATGAATGTTAATTATAATTAAAAAACATCGCTTTCTAATATACGTTGTGTCTATTTGACTGACATTCCTCTACATACACTGTGTAAGTATTAGTGACATTGTCATTCTACAAAAGATGACTACTTCTCTAGAAGTACAATGAAGTGAAAACCAATATTTTGTATGTCAATTCAACGATGAATAAACACTACAAGAAATTGCCATCTAATTTCAAATGCGTTTTGTGGGTCTTTTCCATCAAAGCATCTAGTTTACACGTCCTTAGTTTCTCAATCTATGGAACACCCATTCGAAAACCCAATTCTTTGAAACTCGACTAGTTATTTCGTTCCATGTATATTGATCAATGAGACTGTGATGGGTCGTGCTAATTGTAGTCTCTATACCGTTTAATAATAGTTAGATCAAGAGGGCATTTCAGGAAATTGGTAAACATATAAGAAGCAGCAACTGCGTTTGTGTGACTGACAATCACCTACACACAGAGAAAGTACGAGTGATATTCTCGTTTTTGTAGAGGATTACATGAACAAAATGAAGTGAAAACCGATACTTTGCCTGTCAATTCACAGAACGTGTCGTATCACTTATGAATAAACACTGTGACAGTTTATCATCTAATTTAGCCTGAGTTTTATGATCGTTTTCTCATGTAGTCATCTGGTATTCACGTCCTTAATTTATCAATCTATGTAGCGACAATTACTACTCACGAATATTTGAGACTTGCCCAGTTTTCACTTCGTGTGTGTGTTGGTCATTGAGACTGTGGTGGACCATGCTAATTGTAGTCTCTTTATAATATAATATTGTTTAAACTAAGAGAACACTTCAGGAAATGGGTTAACATATACTGTACAGCGTCTGCGAACTAATATCGGATATCGTTCTTCGTATTACAGAAGATTATAGTTCACATGAAACTGTATTGACTGCACGATTCACATATATTTTTATTCAGGTCGTTCCATATATAATTCAATGAATGTTGGTTTGTCTTCATCATGTATCACCAGACATTGTATGGCAGAAAGGTATATGATAAACGTGATGACAGACTTGTCTATAAGTTCCTGTGATGACATTCTACTGTTGAAAAAATGACTGTTTGTTTTGAATGTTGATTTAGCTTGGATAACTTTGTTAAGTGGAGGTGATCGACTTTCATGTGAGGTCGAATATTTTTCGACTTATCATATGGTGTTGAAATTTCTGTTCATTTTTCAACGGGAACGAAGTAGGTTTTTTGTAAAGAAACATTCGTAGTTGAATATTTAAACAGTATGTCTGGTTTTCCCTGTCTCGACAATATCCGATTCATCGTCTTAGATCACTTTATTAAGGAGATAATTTGATTGAGTTAGACAATGTTTGGTACATGTACACTATTGACAAGAACCGTGAATTCAGGTTTCATGGTGTTTGGTACAAGTCATTTATGTGTGTCTTCAATCATGAAGAAACTAACACTTCCCGTGCCATGCAAACTCATATTGTTGTGAAGGGGAAAACAAGTTTGCACAGTTGAATATATTTGAACACAAAATTACAGAACATCTTAGTGATATCCGTGAATCTTCCATGTTCGTGACCTTCTACTGACATGTATTTTACATTCGTCTGATGATGCATACTACTTATATCCCTTGACATCAGTAGCACAGAAGCATCAGATCTACAATCGCAGTTGTTACCACGGACTCTCGATGGGATCGAGTGGTTATCGATTTCATGTTGCTTTTTGCAATAACTTTCCATCATGTTCTGAGTGCAAACTCAAGCAAGTAAAATTCACCATTTATCAAGTCGAAAATAAACCACAATCCACGTTTTGCGCAAAAGTGTGCTCTAAAACATTTTAGATTTTACTCAGCTGCCCAACTATTGTGTTGATGAACATGGTTGGTTTGAAAATGTAGGGTTGAAGCAATTAAGCGTTAAAATATTTTTGAATATTATATAAACTGCTAATATACAGTCATAACAGTTCTATCCATTATGAATATCATCATTATTGAACAGATTAACATAGTGTCATGTAAAGTAACTGAGAAAAATTATTGTATGAGTAACGATAAACGTTGACAGCCTTTTCTGCCAGCTTTTGGAACACATACAAGGATTGTGTATAACATTGATATGATTGCCATATTAATCGGTCACATATTCTTCTTGTTTTGAGTACGGCAACTAAACCGTGTCGTAGTTAATACTAATTTATGATGTGTCTGTTATAGGGTTAATGAATGAATTTCTGTAAACAGAAACCGAAATCACTGACCAAATTTTGAACAAAGTTTCAATGTATATTGACGAGTAATGTCTAAATAGTGCTTACCAGTAAAATTATAGTCTAGTTCGGTACTAATACTACTTTGATGATAAACTTGATCACAAGACGGTCAATTTGTCATGTGATTGCCCAATCCGTAAGGTCTTTCGTGGAAGTCACATCCATGTCTACACTGACTCATCGTTTCGAGACAATTATCAATGATACCTAGTTTTTCTGAGGAACACATTTGTGCTGGCGATAGAATAGTATATTTAGTGTGAATAGTAATAAGTTAAACATACAAAGCACGTCTGCTGGGCTGATCCATATCATCCGATTAAATGAATGACACTACAAGTATCCATTCGAGCTTACTGTCATAGTGAAGAAACTCATATATACAACGCAATATTCTAGTGAGACTTCTGAATGGACTCAGTACTACGGGATTTCGTAACGAAACGGGAGCTAATGAAGCCAACACTTGGTCATTTATCATTCTCAAAAACAGTTACCCGTCAAGATTATCAGTATATCTCCCCATGATACTACAAAGAAGACGAAAATAAAAGTTGGGCAAACGCTTAATGATGCACCATAACTACTAGTACAGGTAGAGGAATATTTGAGGCAGAGAAATCAGTTGTTGTTATTATGGAATGTGTGAGTGTTATCTATCTTTCATCGACTGTAATGTTGAAGAATGTAATGAACTGCACAGTTTATGTTTCGTAATTGATCGAAAGAACCTGTAAGTGTTCGTCTGCTTATGTATGTCAGTAGCATACCAAATTTTGTGAGCAAGAATACCGGCATATCAAAATCTATCCACGCCCCATTTTACATCCGCTCTCGATCTCTTTTGCTTCCAAACAAAAAGAGGAGAACGCGCTCGATCAAAAGTATCCTCAAAATTTACCCAAACCGAACAAAATTTTCCCCGAAATAGGGAGATTGATAAAATGAAGTCTTCAGCCAGTCTTCAGGATTATGGATGAGAGGTCTGTCTACCTATATTAGTCCTTGCAGGTTATAACACTGCAGAGTTCAAATTTCGTTTTGAATATATCAACAGGAGGTGCTGGTACTACGTGTTCCGATATAGAATTCGGTGCGAGAAAAGAAACTCCAGAATTAAACGATTTAATCTCGGTTTTTGAACTTTCTTCGAATGTCCTTTCAAATGGAGCTGGTGACCGCACGCTCAACCTTTTATATTTATCAGGACTTTGGACCGGCAGTAACCAAAGCAAGGCTATGGGTAGAATCGTCGCAATATCTTGAAAACTGAAATCAATTCATAAGCGAAATATTAGTATGTAGATTTAATTTGCCAACTGTATTATTTCATATTTATTACAAATATTTACCATCGTATATTAGATTTCATTGATCGAAAAACTGTCTGATCTAGACGGATCAATAACTGATGCTGATCGATTATAACGACTTGCGTCACACCACCAGTCATTATCAACTCAAATTAACAAGTACGAAACGGAAATGATGCAAAATATGAAAATGATTTTCACGAACACTTTCACTGTGCTCCATGATGGTCGCTATACTATTTGTGCGCCAGAGTGCATTCTATTGTAAAATAAGTCGCCACAAACCAAATATCACAACACAGACATTCAAATCCATTTATCGGTGGCTCTAAACAGGGCCTTCACTAGTCTCTTTGTTATCAGTCCACACATATTTCTTGATTACGATATTACGCTTTCCGATGATTGTTTGTTTTATGGTATATCGTTCCTCATGACATATCTCGGTAAACATCGTAGCGTTTCATTCGTCGCACTTTCATATTTGTGAGTATTGCCTTCACGAAATTTGGCTGGGACGTGCTTGACTACCCTATACTGATTCAGTAATAATCAATCTGCTACACATCGATGGAATGTGCTACTTGACACTTCGATCATTGACGTATAATTTTGTGTAATCGAAGACATATTTTTTATGTGCATGGATTCCATCATTCATGATTCTATTTAACCTCTGGCAATAAGACGGCTAAACATTTTCTTAGACTATAACCTTTCAATTCCAGTTGCTGCTGACGACTAAAGGAACAATTTCACACACTACATGACGTTTCCAATTACATGTACTGATTACCAGTTGTGGTTTGAGTTCAAACCCATTATTGTTACCGCAGAAGCTATTTACAATATTCGTCTGCGACAATTTGAAGCTTATTCCGACCATTGGTTAAAGCTTTAAGGGGTTATGGAGATCAGGACAGTGGGACTGAAATTGCATATCGAATGGTTACAGAAAGGATTAGTGCAGACACTTAATTCATTTCCAATTCAGGAGAGAACCGGATTTTTCCGTCCAGTAAGTTTATAGCAATTGTCTTTCAAACACGCTATATATCATCTGAGTAGAATTTCATGTTTTTGAGAAAAGCGAAAGTGGTTCCAGTGTGTCATTTACTAACTGTTGCAATATAGCTTTTAATGCCACATTTTGTGCGTCAGTCCTGTTGATTGATGGCGTTCCGCTATTTCAATAAGCAAGCACCATCGTTTCGTCTAGCAACTGTTTTGCGTTCTTTAATCCCCTTGCAACGAAAACTGACAAATGAGATGTCCGAAAATGTCCTCTCAAAGTGTAGTGATTCGTACCACCATAGTTATTAAATCGCAGCATCACACCCTTGCAATGATTTACTTATAGTGACCACCTGTACATCTATGCCACCAATGAGCTAAGACCATCCTGTAGTACTATTCTATCTGACATACTGTGTATGGGTCTCCAAATCTTTATGTCATCGGCGAAGAGTAGAGCGGATGATTTGGCTACAGTTGACATTTTTTGACATAGTGTGAAAAGAGAAGACGATTGTGCCTTGGGGAACTCCACTTTTCACATGTTCACACGAGAGAGCTCCACTTACCCTTGCCCTTTGTCTCCTGTCATGGAGAATGCTACTTATCCAATCTATGACTGTATAATCGATTCCGAAATATTCCAGTCCGAATTTAAGACTAGAATGCGACGCCCTGTCGAAGTCTTCACTTAGATCTTCGAAAATCTTATTTACAGGAATATTCCGATCTTTTGCCGCAGCCCAATCTTTTTCGCGATGAAAAAATTCATCAAGCATGATAAGCCTCTCCGAAATCCATGTGGTTCCCTGGACAGACGATTATGCCCTTCAACATAGTTTATAACAGATAATCGAATGAAGTTTTCCATCAGTTTTACAACTGCACTGGTTAAGCTAACGATCCTATAGTTGCTAACTAGATCCCCATTCCAAGACATATACACCAGACTTATTATCGCATCTCTCCAGGCTCAAATAATGATTAGTTTATTGATGATCGAAATCGTTGATGTAAAAATCAGAGGCCACTAAAGCAGAACAGTGAAGATGGTTGCACACACATACAAATGGTATTTTTCAACGGCACGATCCACTTTTTTCAGCCGATTTTCTGTCATTCGACTCATGATGCACACACATATAAGGGTGTGCATTTAGTAGTAGTGATCGAAATATTGTGAATTCTATCAGATTCACCAGATTGAGTATAAAATAAAATGAAAGTCATCATCCAGAAGATACAGGTGTTTGCTAACAGTTGTTTACGCAAAATACTTCGGATCCGTTGGTCAGTCACTATCAGCAACAACCAACTGTGGGAGAGAACAAATCAGATCCTAGCGGAGGAAGAAATCGGGAAGAAGCGCTGAAAGTGGATAGAACACACATTGAGAAAAGCACCCTACTGCGTCACGAGGCAAGCCCTCACATGGATTCCTCAAGGCTAAAGGAGGAGAGGAAGATCAAATAACACATTACGCCGAGAAATGGAGACAGACATGAGAAGAATAAACAAAAATTGGATGGAACTAGGAAAGAAGGCCTAGGACAGAGTGGGTCGGAGAATGCGTGGTCGGTGGCCTATGCTCCATTAGGAGTGACAGGCGAAAGTAAGTAAGTAAGTAAATCTAGTCACTGCAATATGGAACATTTCAATGACAATACCGAACAATATGTTAGACTGACAATATTGTGACTATCGAATGTCCTAATCAGGCTCGAATCAGAACATGTTGCTTGTTTGATTTTTTGGCGAATCAGCGCTAGTGGGCGAGTCGGAAAAATACTAGGAGATCCTTATATGAACAGTAATGCCATCATTATGGTATATTGTATTAGTCGAATTTGTTAGAATATACATTGCTTACTATTAATTCATGATCTAATTCAGAAGGCGGTTGAAGTAGTGTCCGAATGACACCGGGCGGCAAGAACTCAATACTATATGGCTCCGAATAATCAACAAACATAATTCCTTTGACACTAAATCAGTCGATCATACGCAATGTAGTTCCTGACACATGTGCATCGGTCCAAGTTGCCATACCACAAAGTGCGATAAAGTTATTTCGGGCGTATACGAAAGTAGTGGTGTCAGTAGTGGTAAGGAAAACCAGGTATAAAATAAAGAAACAGATATAGGGTTTCGGGACACAGTTCCTAAGGAGTAGGTTTTGGTTAGCACTACGTCACACACGTTCAAACCACCGCGGTTAATGAAGATCCACTAACTAACCAGTCAATTTGACATCCTTCCCTAATATCCTGTGTATTTCTCACTCTGTGGTTCAAAAATACACAAGCAATACTCCAAAGGCACGACTAATAAATAGTAACCCATAAATATTCTGTATTAAAAGCCATGTTTCACACCCATAAAGTAGAACGAAGCGAACTGATTCATAATTATCTCATCCTTTGGTTTGCTTACGGGTATCTTGCCTACGCCACAAGCGATCCAAGTCACAAAAGGTCAGTCGAACTTCCCGATTGTGTGTCCAACCTTTCCCAGACACCAACTAATCACGGCTGAGACCCTAAGTGAAGTGGTTGTTGCTTGGTCCAACGTTGTAGCTTACTGATTGATGCAATCGACTATTTCAATCCCTTTCATTAATTTAGACGCTAACCCAGCTGCCCTGAGGCAACATTCTGCATTTGGAGTGATAGAATCACATTTCAAGCATTCAAGACTGTGAACACCGAAAAAATCTTGACTTCATAATAATTCTCCAGTGGGTTATTAATTCCCATTGCTGAGGGATCTTAAACTACTATTTTGTATTTCTCAACATTCAATGATGATCTAGGATCAGCCCATGATGCATATGATTCTCACAACGCATCAGACTGATCGCCCCTCAATATATTCTATACATTCATTTTGATTACACCTAGTCACACGAACATATGATGAGATTGTTTAGTAACGGAATATCTAAGGTGTCAGGTCGTGTGGAATAGAATGTATGGTGAACCTTGATTATTATTAAAAAGTATAAACATGTGTTGTCAATTACTGATATATATAGCAGCACTGTAACAAAGGTTAAAAGCCTACAGTTATTGATCAGTTTTATAGATAAATATGTGTACTAATGCTGTTCAAATGATGTATTATAAAAACTAGGTGTAATGCATTGTATTATCAGAAAACTAAAAAATAGCTCAGGCTTAACAATGTGAAATAGTTTGTAAACAAGATATAGTTAGTCAGTCAGTTGAAATTTTACTACCTAAATGTCTTCTAGTCATATATCAGTGTAGCGTAACAGTTCCAACATTTGACCTTTGACTCTTTGGTTGTAATCTTGTGAATTCAACTTGTTTTCTTTAGCTAAATTATGGTTGGATAGTGTTGAGCAGTACCGTATGAAACAGCTATTTAGTACATTTCTGGTTTTAAATTGCATGCTAAACGAGATCAATCTGTGACGAATACTATCTATAAACCAAATAATATTCGAAATTAAATTGACTGATCATAAATTAACAATCTGCTCCACCAGTTGGTTGTATAGTGATTGGTATTATATATTATTCTATCCATCTATAAAGTACAGATGTCAAATACACAACGGACAGAGACATAAAGTTCAATCCCCACCGAATACTAAATCCCAGATCACAGTGTAACGCCATTGTGATCGATTTTGAGCCATGTCATCAGGAGTCTCCAACCATTGGTTACGATAGTCACATGGACCACAACCAAGTAGTCTGCATCTACCAATACGAATCAGACTAGAAGTTATTAACTTCAAGCACTGATGCCACGTTTTGGTTTGACCGCCCCTAACTCCCTTCTAACCATCCCCAACACCGGTTAGCATTGCACGTCGTGGTAATCGATGTTCAGGCATACGTAACAGGTGACCTAACCATCTCAGTCGATGAAGATTCACAACTTCAACAAGTGATTTGCCATACTTCTATAATAACCTACATCTAACCTCACTATTACTCACCCAATGATCCCAGCAGATGCGAGCAATATCTCTAAGACATCTGTGGTCAAATACTAGTAGCTTATGAGTATCTTCAACTTTGAATGGCCATGTTTCGCAGCCGTAAAATAAAACAGAACGAACTGCCACACAGTATACTCGTCCCTTAATTGATAGACGATTATTTCATAATAATTATTATACTTCCTGTTCATTCTAACTAGTCTTGACAACTTGAAATAACATACGCTTATTACAGGCTTTAAATTTCATTATCAATAAATAACTGAATATTAAAAGAAAAAGAAAAAAGAAAATAAAGAGAAAGCTAAACAACAACAAACAAACAGACAACAATCAAAATAAGATCAACTTACCAAACAATAAATTTCGATTTAACATAAAATCCATCAGTCGATGTACCAAATGATACATTTATTAAACGAATACCAATAGGTTTCAGGTTAGTATCATTGTTACTATTAGGATTTAATCGATCCGCATAAAATATTGATGGAAATGAATAATGAAGTAAATGAAATTGAGATAAATGACCTTTTCCCATTTTATTATACTCTAATAAATATTGATGTTTACCAATATAAACATTACGACTATTTTGAACTGTTCGCAAATGATTATCAATGAAACAAGCTGGTTTGATTTGAAGGAATGCTGATGGATGAGTTGCATTACTTGAATATAGTCCAGCATTATTATTCATTTTAGATACTGATTCACCTAATAAAATATTGGTCATCTAGTATTTAAGAAAAGATGGATATATATACAAAGAACTATTTAGACGTATGAAAGCAATCTTAAATTTACTGATAACAATAAATTGCTTAATATTCAAACGCTAACATACTTACTTACGCCTGTTACTCCTCGTGAAGGAGCATAGGCCGCTCACCAGCATTCGTCAATGGTCTGGTAGGTTGAGCGTCCGCACGCGAGACTGAAGGCCCTGGGTTTGAATTCAGCGAGCGGGATCGTGTACGCTTACTGCTGAGCAGCCCCACAATAGAACGAAACGGCCGTCCAGAGCTTCCACGTTTTCAACGGTGGTCTGACATCAGTCGGTTCAAAATCTCAATCAATAACATTATAACCTCCACAACCCCATATTGATAAAGGCTTTAATTCTATTATGTATATATATACATATAAAGTCAGACGAACTTGTCGAAATATTGTCTGGTGAAAATTCCACACTTCATTAACTAAGTAACGCTAAGTAAGATGATTGTTATTGCTTTATTGCTACATAACATATTCCCTTGGACTAGAACACTTTTATAGGATTATAATACTGAATTGATTTGCTTATCTTACATCTGATAACTAAGTTTCACAAACACACAAAGACAAATATAAGATGACGGGGAAATTTTGTAGCCCAGGTAGATGACAAGGATAAAATGTTTATTATTTGTAGGGAAATTCAAACACTTCACTTCCATCTGAAGTTTTCGTTGATTTTATTCAGAAGAACAATGAAAACCTCACAACAAAACTACCCAGCTTAGAGAACGAAACTCGACCAAAAACATCAATTTCTATAGTTTACATGACAGACTAACTCTAAGTAGATAAATAATTTAAACCAGGAAGAAATGAACAGCCATACTGTCTTAGAATGAGAGATTACCATTCATGACATCACGAGGAAACGAACCCACGACCTTCATTAAGTCCCTAGGTGAACACTTAACCTCTAGATTAATGACCTATCGTTCAATGGTTTACATTCCTAACTTTAATCGATCCGTGAAATAGCGCAATCATCTTCCAATGTCATTGGTGAGTAAACCAACTGTCTCACACTACATATAGCTGAACTCCACCAGTCAAACCTTTTCGTCACTAGAACACCAGAAATTACCCCATAAAATTAGTCACTAATGTGTAAAAATTAAAATTCATTCTACTTTCTGAGAGAAACATTTTTTACACGTTGTTGTTTTCGTTTCAGAAAAACAAAAATTTTACCTCAAAATTTCCAGGTGTTAATTCATCGTCAATACTGAATAAAACTTCTTTACGAAATTCTTCAGTTGGATCTAAGGTCAAATTTGACATAATCATTAAATGTAAACGAAATCGACTTTGATTAAAATTACTAGTTAAATTATTGAATAAAATATCAAATTGAATAATCCAACCAGGTTTAAATAATAAATGTGGCATATCTTTATGATGTTGAGTTGTATTACTTATTCGAAACTGAAATTAGAAAACAAAACAAAACAAATTCTAACTGAAATAATAACAAGTTTCTTTAATGGAAATTAATATAGGAATAATTGTGAAAACTCGGTTGGAAAAAAGCTAAGAGCAGACAAACTAAGATGTGACATCAATCCATGCAGTTACTGACTACTAATCTGATTGTTTAGGTAGATACAGATTATCTGATTGGAATCTACGTGATTAACTTATGGTTGAAGATGTTAAGTAGCATGGCTTAAATGCATTCACCACTTGTCTATCCTTGTGTCTTGAGTTTTGAAACTATCCTATTGTTTCATATCCTGGGAATTCATCTTTTCTTCTTAAAGTATAGTGTCTATACCTAACGTTTCTTTACTATCATCACTACAGTTACTACTTCTACTGCTCCAACATTTGCCTTCATAATTTCATCTCACTGTGCTGATATGGTGTAGCAATTTGAGTTGATACACAAATGTCAGGTTCTACGTTGTTTCGAGCTGAATAATATGCTCTATAATTGAAATTAATTCATCCCTTTTGTGTTTTGTCTCGTTGATTTTTCTTGCGCCCTGTGTTTATTTAAGATGTGGTTGATACACAGAGTTATGACAGATGATTATAACCAATAACGGTTCATAACCCCATAAACTGATAAAATGTACATATGCCATACATAGACCCCAAATACAATAATCAGTACAACAGCCTGAACAAAGACAAATATGTTGCACATATTAAAGAACAAAACTAAGACTAGCGTTCCATTATATTTTTTAACTTACCTTAATGATAACTTGCTCGTATGGTGAAGTCATTTTTGGACTAGTTCCATTGTATGTTATTTCAAATAAATTATTTTCAAAGAATAATGAACTATCGTTGTTCGAATTACGCTTCCAGTTATATTCACTTAAATGGTGGATTCGAATTTGATCAGAATTTTGAGGATAAATGGAAATGTTTACATCATCAGATAAATCATTATATTCAAGCATCTGGTTGATTTTTAAATAAAAAAGCAAAAATGTAACGTTGTATCTCCGAATGAAAGTAGAGGTCCTTTTCATAACGTGTTCAGAATAATTTGGAATACTGTAAAGCTTATATGCTATGATTATATTCTTTATAAAAGCCCAGCAACAAATGGTTGCTTAGAGGTTATAGCATTTGCATTTCACAACCAATAGGCTGCGACGTTAGAACTTTGCTCGACCTAAATCGGTTTGAGCAGCCGATTAGTAGTATACCACAGGCACTCCTACGAACTGTCATAACTTATGGCCACCAATTAGAGAACAGTGACTTATCGATCGGATCAATGACGCATAAACACATGACAGCAGTCTAGAGTTCTGATTGGCCCTGCTTTCCGCCTGGCCCAACCAGATAAGTCCAGAACACAAGTCTCAGACTCTGAGATATGAATCGTATTTCAAACATACTCTGTTTATATACCAATCAGGCAGACCACAACATACCACGAAGTAGAAAATAACATTTGTACAATATTTGAGCAACAGGAAAATGACACGTGAAGTAAATATTGACCAGTAGGGAAATGATGCCATTTCAAGTCCAAGGATAGCATTAGACTTAACAGGATAATTTTTGGGATATTTTTCTGAATATCCCAACATAAACGTTAAAAACAAGTACACGAACTTGCACTGAGTAAAATTAAGTCTAATTAATGGGTCTATCTTTGTCTTCTCTTGTAATAATGGCTTCATTCGTGATATTGTTGTAGAATTAAGGCGAATTACATGCCTGTGCTCAGATGTCACCTCAAGGTCAAGCGTCGGGCGACAAATTATAAGTGGGCCATCTTAGTGAAGGAAACTGACTATGTTCCCAGTCAAGGTTTCGGCCCACATGTTCTGGTGTAGGTCAGAATGACAAATATATGCGTACTTTATTATTAGGTTTCTAAATCAAAGCTTAGTAGTCACGTACAATCCCTTTCACTAGCGTAGCTGGTTGAGTCAGTGTTGTCCCGACAAGAATAATGAATGGTAACTTGTGGGATCGATTGATGGGCCAATACTAAACGTATATTTCTATTGTATAATTATTAAGTAGCTAAACTATGCATATTCATATTCCTCTTATCATAAGCTTTATTTTGACCCACAAACTATTATTATACGTTTGACCATTCTTGAGTTATACTCAGTATATTGATTACTATCTCCTTCATTCACAACCACATCTAGCTAATTATTGTACAAATGTTTTTTTCATATTTTATTGGTACGTTGTGGTCATATTACGGAGGCTGCGACTGGTATTCTGGACTTAACTGGCTGGGCTAGACGGAAAGCAGGACCAACCAGGACTCTAGGTTGCTCGCACGTGTTATATATATATATAGTAAGGGATATATCTGACAGTACTAAAGACTACCTCTGGTCTTTAAGCCAACAGTAAGGAAGTTGATTTCATTTTTCTCTGACTTTTCCAATTTCACTAAATCATACTGTAAAAGGTCAATATATGGATCAGATAAGTACTTTTATATCTGCAAGGTTTACTCTTTATATTGCATGAAGCTTTCAATGTACGTATTGGGATTGCTACAAGCCAAGTAAGTTTATTTGCTCTCCTTATATACTCGACCCCATTCACTGCAGAGTAAAAATCAATTATGAAACTGGCCAAGTCACGTGGCCCTTAGTCTCAGCTTAGTACCTGTATATCTCTTCATCTTGAATATCCCTGACTCGAATATCATAATTTTTCTCTTCTCTGCTACTGTCTAAAGAGTAAATAAGTTATACTAGATAAAGTTAGTACTATTTGTTGTTGACCTTAACGTTTGTTTCGATGTACGATTCAGGAACCATTAACTGGCATTTTAATGAATAGAGAAAATCGACATTAAAGAATGATTGTATTGGACTTTTTGTTTATTTCACAGATATTTGTGCGCAGCGAGATTGGGTGTTTTTCCCTTGGCTTTTTCTATCCTCTACCAGGCAGAATCCTTACGTAAATGATCCATGTTTGACATTTATGTGTTAGTATCGAGCCCTAATATAAGAGATGCCTAGAGTTCAAATACCATACTGTATTTTGATAATCTGGGTAACCGCAAAGGAAAGAAGACAGCTATCTCATGATCGGCTATTTTCTGTGTGGAAACATACCAAAATATCATAATGGTTCCATTTAAAGAGTACTACCGCTTGTACATTACCAACTAGTGAACAAATAATATTGAAAAGACGATGGTAGCAGTAAAAGTAACGCACACGGACATCAACTACAGTCAAACGCCATGATATCTCCTTACTTATATCAATAAACGTAGACAACTGCGGACGCTCATTCGATTGGAAAAATGAGGAAATCCTAGACAGAGTAAACTCCAAAAACACCAGATAATTTTTAGAAGCCTGACACACAGGTCAATCAGCAATCAACAAGCATATTGAAACCAATCTAATTTACCATCCAATCCGGAAAATCATCCACAAATATAGGAATAAAAATCAAACCAATAGGAGACACAACCGAAACATGGAAGTAAACAATGACAAATTTAAGGTCAATAAGGACCAGTCAACATCGCGATGCACAGAACAAGCTGTGAAACATATGGAGAAATTCGAACACTTCACTTCTATCTGAAGTTTGTGCTGATGATGTCGTTCAGAAGAACGATGAAAGCTCCACGATCAAACCATCCAGCTCAGAGGACAAAACTCCACCAAAATCATCCACCTGAGCTACAAATCTCCACCATCTCAAAATTACCACGCTAAATTCTTGGTGTTTGCGCAAAACACAGTTGACTGTCTACATGTATAAAAGCTCTATTTTAAAATATCACTAACGGAACATCTGACAAAAATTGTTTTGTGGAAACTCAGTGATTGAAATGTGGTTACTTCGATATCACATTCGATAAGCTTATCTCTATAGATAACTCAATTTACCTAGGACTAATAATGTGCAATTAATTTCAGATTGTGGTTGCTTTCGTTGTCTGATTGAGAATTACTTAATTTCAAACATACTTTTAGAGGTAGCATAAGCCTTAACCAGTGTCATTCTGAATAAAAATGAATTAACGTAAATTGATGCAGGGAGGAACTCAGGAAATGTGTGAACGTAAAGACAAAGCTTTGTCAGTAGATGCCAACATGTTGATCATGATTGTCTCACCGTATTCACTGGTCAAACGACTAACCGTACACTGACAGTAATCGATCCTTCACTGAAGGTACATGTGGCTGCCAAACCAAATGTCAATATTCTCCACTCAACATCCAAAAGCATTAAAGATACACCTTATACGCATCATCTCATCCCTCATTACCTCAAGATAGGTCACAAGTGTAGTGAAATACTTTTTGGTTTCCGTTGCTCACTATCTGATGTAAAATCATGATGAAAACTACATTTAAATAACTCTGAGTCTCCATATATCCACCTTAAAAGAAATTTAAATGACGTACTTCGGTTATTAATGACATAATTATTTCAATGTAAATCATGAAACCCATTCACCTCACATTGGATCAAAACAACAACTCATATGGCTTTATGTAAACTTTATCTAGACACATTCAAAGCATTTCAAGCCATATCATTCAATCTCTTTTCTTAATTCGAACATTAGAACCAGTAAATTTTAAAATTTGAAGACACTTTGCAAGATTTGCTTTCGTCTGGCACAACTATAAACTCATGTCAACGAGCTTATCTGAGAGTATGTTATCTGGGAACAGGTCCCTCACAATGATGACACGAAGTAGGGTTTTTTGATCTGCAATAAAAAATACTTGATGAATTATACTTTAGCTATAAACGTCTAACCGAGGTTAGTGCATTAGTTGGATGAGACTTCATTAAAAGTTATTTCGCAAACCGGAAATTCAACTTTCATGATGGACGATTTAATATCTTACCAAGACAAATTGGAATGTACTATAAGAGAATGAAGCTTTTAAGTCACAACACAACACGGTGTTTTCAACGGGTATTTGTGCGAATCAATAGGAAAGATGAGCCAGTTGATTAAATGAATAGATAAACAGCATCACAAGACAAGCAAATAACCAAACGAAGGATGAATATAGAAAGTATATTGCTGATTAACATAATTAAAATTTAATTTGTGAGTCTTCAGAAAAGATGTTATGTATTACATCGACATATTTAATCCATAAATAGAGAGTTACCTTCACAAACAACATTTCAACAGAACTTATACCGATGGACATTCTGAATGATTTCAGCAGATGACCTAGTTGTTGAAAAGGTTGAATTACGATGGGCTTCTGGAGAAAATAAGTCCGAGAGGAAACTCGAACATAACCAAGTTTTTAAAAGTTATCGATTTTTTGAGAATTTAGAAATGTTAATATACCAAAAATTCATGAAGTTTTAGTTTGTTTTATTGTATAAGAAAACATTTAATCACCTTGATATTTATAATGACGTTTTGAGAAAATTCAAAAATGAATAAAAATTGTCAAAACAATTTTTATTATTTAGTAAGATATTCAGAGTGAAGATTGTGAATACCATCTCTATAAATAAAGCATGGACTATTCGCGGCTCTCTGATAAGGCTGTTACACTTTCTGAACTATTGGACCTAGCTCTTGGAACACCTGATGTAATAGTTATAATATAAATCATAAATTTATTTTAGCCAGGGTCAGGTAACTTCGGAATATTGTATATCATTTTATCACATATAATAAAGCACCTAAAACTCAGCGATGTGAAGCCAGACGTAAAGAAACCTACAAACGAACCACGGTCACAGAATGAAACAAAAATATCAACTTCTGAATTGGCCAAAAATATACTCTACAATATCCAAGTAAAGTTGGATTTATAAGATTTATTTTTTTGTTGTAAAATCTCGTTTCTGAGGTCATTCGGTTAGCCTTAAGGAGCTCTTTCAGGAGACATGGCGCAGATCGGTCAGTTATTAAAATCTTTCTTAATTAGTCGTATACTGTATAATTAATCGAAATCGTTTCTAAATAAATAATTTTCGGTGAGATTATGATTTTTGGACGAACCATTTAGGTATAAAGTGACAGGTATCGGACTTTGGTGCAAAATTCACTCATCCATTTTGATAAATAGAGTTTTGGCATTATAGCTGATGTCAGTTAGTGATTAAAACTCTAAATCTTATTCCTAGCTCTAACCATCAACTGTAAATCACAATCCGAATTACTCAAACTAATTTATAACCCACATTTGGTCCTAGTTATCAGGTGGACACTCTAGAGGTCAGTCCTGCGTCGCTCAAAGATTGTGCCTGGCTCCGAACATAATGAAAAGCGGAGTCAGCTTAAGCGCAAGCTGACAAGAAGTCTACGCAATGATCGCGAATAGTGGTGGGTAGCTAAAGCAAGAGAGATGGAAAACGCAGCGGCAATAGGTAATAGCAGACAATTTTCAGACTCGTTAAGGAAACCGGTAATAGGAACCTGACCGTTAGCGAAACAACCTCAGAGAAAGATGGACATATTATTCATTCTCAATCCAGGAGATTGGATCGATGGGCAGAACACTCTAGGGATCAGTTCAACTAGCCTTCAGCCACACTTCGGTTTCCCACGATCTCCAGTCAACCTGAATGGCAAGTTAATGTAGGTCCTCCGTCCCTTTACGAAGTTGAAAAATCCATAGGGAATCTGAAACGAGGGAGAGCACCAGGTCCTGACAGGTTTACTCCTGAGAATTTTAAGGATGGTGGTCCAGTATTAGCAGTGAGATTAACTGAGGTCTTAGGTAGGATTTGGGAACTGGACGTAATCCCATCTGACTGGTCTCAATCACTGATTGTGCTAGTCTATAAGAAAGGACAAAAGTCCTCTTGTGACAATCACAGAGGAATCAGTTTGACTAATATAGTATCTAAAATATTAGCTTCAATAATACTTCGACGCCTAACTAAAGCTTGTGAAGAGCAGATTTGAGAAAATCAGGCTGGTTTTCGACCAGGACGTGGTTGTATAGACCAGATGTTCACACTGTGTCGGGTTCCAGAACACAGACACATCCAGACGCCCCATAATCGTAATGTTTCTCGATCTTAATGCAGCATTCGACTCTGTAGATCGTGAGGTTCTATGGCAGTGTTTGTCACTGAAAGGAGTACCAAAGAAGTTCATTAATTTTGTAAAGGCTCTCTATTCGAGCACAACTGGTAGAGCGACAGCTTATGGCGAACTGTCATCAGAATTGATTACCTCAAGTGGTGTTCGTCAGGGCTGTCCACTCTCCCCATTCTTGTTCAACTTTGTGGTCGACGTACTTTTACAGATAACACTCTCCTCATTTAAATTTACAGGGGTTGAACTTCTACCGGGAGGTTCACTTGCTGACTTAGAATATGCCGATGAAATAGTTCTATGTGGTGAAGACGCTGACAAAATGCAGAGTCTTCTGACCACTCTAAGCAACAAGGCAAGCATGTTCGGGATGCGATTCTCTCCCTCGAAATGGAAAATGTTACTTCACGATTGGGTTTCATCGACACTCTAACTAATGCTAGGGAGTGAAGTCGTTGAACGTGTCGACCAGTTCGCTTATCTGGGAAGTCTCATCAGCCCTTGTGATCTGGTGTGTGACGAAATCTCAGCACGGATACAGAAGGCTCGACTAGCTTTTGCCAACTTGGGTCATTTATGGCGTAGGCGATATATCCATTTATCAACCAAAGGACGTGTTTACTGCGCGGCAGTTCGTTTCGTCCTACTTTATGGCAATGAAACATGGCCGGTAAGAGTAGAGGATATTCGTAGGTTACTAGTATTTGATCATAGGTGTCTTCGAAACATTGCTCGTATATCCTGGGAACACCGAGTAAGTAACACAGTTGTTAGGAAACGGGTGCTAGATAAGGATGGCAAATCGATTGATGAAGTAGTGAAACTTGATCAGTTGAGATGGCTGGGACACGTGTTACGTATGGCCAACCACCGACTGCCTCGACGTGCGATGTTCAATGATGTAGGAGTAGATTGGAAGAAAGGTAGTGGCGGCCAGAACAAAACATGGCACAATTCCATGAAGTCACTGACGAGTGAACTGAGTCATGTTGGTAGGTGTAGACTACCTGGTTGGGGACCGCGAGATGATAGCAACCGATGGTTAGAGACCCTGAATGACATGGCTCAAAATCGTTTGCAATGGCGCAGGTGCATCCACTCTTTGTGTTCTCCCAAATTCTAATCTTCTGAATTCTTCATGACCTTTGTTTCATCTTTCCAAATTTACTTCACTGTATTATACTCTACAAATAACATCTCCAAACCCTAATCTTCCCGATTACTGCTTATACTCTTGCTACCTCTACCATTACGGGATTTGAATCGACAACTGCATCTCTGTGCCAAGGTGGTGTGGCAACTCGAACTGATGTACGTGCGTACAAAGTTCTACGTTGTTACTGACTGACTGACAAAGATTGTGCATAAATTATAGTCACACCGTATTTTCTTCGGGCACACTTTTAATTTCAAAAATCAAATAAGTTCTGTATACTACGCAATAAGATGAATATTTTTATCACAAATTATTAATCAGGTATACGAATAATATAATAACATATAATTCACCACTTCTAGTAAATATGTACAATATTTTCTACTACAGTTTATGATTATAACAACTTCTACCTATATCAATGTATTATTAGTAGATGAAAGTCAAACAAGTGTCTTAATTCGCTGTGAATACACTTTGTTAGAGCGTGAATAATTAAATTTTATTAAATTTTTAAATCTTAAATATTTGTAGATGGATATCCAGCCAATAAACAGTTCATTTTTCAGTATCGAATTAAAATATTTGAATTCCAACTGAACTGATTAGTTTATTTGACTAATTGCTTAAAACCACATCGTAAGAAACGAAAACGGAGACATAATAGTGTAAATATTTCGTTACGGCATACGTATATGAATGGTCGAAAAATTTATTCTAATATCTGCTTAACTTGTTGTTATTATACCTTCCCATGTCAATGTCAAGAGTCCTCAGAAATTAGCTCAAATCACAAAAAATTCTTCATATATACCTTTCTGCTTTACAAGACGTAGGTATTTACATTTGTTAAATAACTGTCTGTTCAAAGTAGACTTTAGGGGGTTCAAATTTTATACGGTTGTTTAAACTTGATTTTTGAATGCTTTGTGTTGCATGGTATGCTTTTAAAATGAATAACGTCGTTTCTTGTAAGCGCAGAGTATCGAAATAGTAACGTAGGATTAAGTATATAGCTCACAACGGGGGACATAGCTCAGATGTAGCGCATTAAATTAGATACCGGTAACTATGAAATGATATCAAGCGGATCGGAACACGGATTTGCTATCCTCTCGGCATTAAATTTCTAACAGTTCAATGTCTCAAAGTGTTAGAATATTCTGAAGCGGTACTCATAAATGTTTTACAGCTAAATCTTACCCAAGAAAAAAGTTTTCAAGTAGATTTTAACTAAAGTTTCAAGTTAAATAAACAGTTCATGACTAGAATTAGTTTTATTCACAATATCTTCTTAATAGGTAGTTCAATATTCCTTTGAGGAAAATAATAATCTAATAAGAATTTTGTAGCTATTTTGTTATCCGACGCCAATTCTTTAATCGCAAATCAACAAATATGATTGTCAATCAAACCTAGGATATTTAAATGATAGACCATCTTTTTATCCACTCGAAATCCAATGATGCATACCAAATAGTAGTTTTATTTAGGTCTAAAAGAATTCTAAATTCAGTAACTTAAACTGATAGGCTAATGCATTAGGTTTTATCCTTTTTCAACCAATTGGCAATATAACAAACTTTTTGAGGAAAAAAATCAAACAATACCAAGATGATAATGGAAATAAATAAGAACTTTGAAATGTGAATCAAAATTCATTTCAACACTCACCTTATGCTCTACCAAATATTCTATAAGACAAAAGCTGGACATTTATCCAATATTCTTTGAATAAGAAGACAATCATACATTGTACTTCATATTAATGAACTTAGATTGGTAACCAATTCAATGTTGTTTGAATATTAGTGCTAAATGTATTTGGTCTGGAATATTTACAATACACTCACTAGTCCAAATGACCAATAGTTAAAATTCATCACTATTTAATGTTAGGCCGTTTGGAGTGAACAGCAAAACGATGAGACAAGTATGATAGGTACTTCGTACTATAAGATGGTCCAGTCTCAACTTTTATCACACTCCCAGTGTGGTGAAAGTAAACTCGAATATAGTGAACTGTCAAATTATTTTATGGGAAACCACACATTGGTTTTGTAAAATACGAAAATCATACATTGGACGCATTATTTGCACATTTTCCTTGAGTCATCTTTTATATAATCTATCATTCTTCTTGCTCCAATGTTATTCCGATTGCTCTCTGTTTTTATTCATGTTCTCTTCATTTCAATCTTCTGCTTGTAAGCATTATACTTCGGATTCCTGCTAATTACTACTTATATCTTTTCGCATAAGTAGAGCACACTACACTGGCACGTATATATATTACATGGTTTAACTTAAAACTAGTGACAATGGATTAAAGCCTGAATGTTCATCATCATTGTATAAAGTAACAAAGCATTTAGATCTATTCAGTCTCTTGATAAAAAATTACGAATTTTCATAGCAAACCTCAATACCCTTGTGATTATATTGTCAAGTAAATGACCCTACCAGATACTTTTATAAGCAACTGATAATCATTCCTTGATAAAGGATCAAAATAATATTGAATAGCAGAAATGATGACTTTTGTAAATAACGCTTCTTAGATATTAATGATACTTTTATCATCAGAAATTTCGA